TTTTGTCACCCTGGCAGGAAGGCCAAAGACCTGCCAGGGGCCAAGACAGGACCCCCCCTAGGAAAAATCACAACCGTCATGCTCGTCCTCGGGCATGTCTGCCCGCTCCTTTTGCCGAAGTCTGGCCCCCAGGTGCAGGCAGTCGGCCATGCAGAGAGCCCGCCCAGCTTGGCGACTCGGGACAGCCACGCCCCGCTCTGCCCTTTGCTGGGCCCCTGAAGGAACGAAGGACCCCCCGAACAGCTCCCGCGCCAGGACCCCAGGAGAGACCCAGGGGCCCAGCCTAAGAGGGCGGTTCGGATGCTTGCCCTTGGAAAAAGCACGCTTGTTCTTGCGCCCTGGATCCACTAGGGCAACCGGGGCAGCCAGACAGAGCCCCTTGAGGCCTCGAGCCCCTTGGCAGATGGTCGCATACGCCCCACAAGTGGAGCAAAACAAAAGCGGGGCCTGGTTTTCCCGAAGGACTGGGAACTCCAGCATACGGTGGCCTCCTTCGGCCCACGGGACCTGGGCTGCATCCGCAGCCAGGCGGGCCAGCTCAGGCGCCAAGGGCTCGGGGGGGCCTGGGAGGGGCTCTCGGGTGGGGGCGGGGCGATGGCCAGGTCCCTCCAAGCCACCTCCCCGGCCTCTCCCCACTTGGGGTCCCCCTCCAGGGAAACCAACGTGAGCCCCTGGGCCCCGATGTTGTCGTACCGGCCCTCCTCGGAGTAAAAAGCTTCAGCACAAGTGATAAAATTGGCCAGCTGGCGCGCTGACAAGAGCATGCCCTTAGCTGCCAGCACCTCCGAGGGGTCGTGCCTGCTGAGGGTGGCTCCAGCTTTGGCCAATCGGTCCGCTTCAGAGTTGCCCGTTCTTTCAAAGGCCGAGATCAGCCCCTCACGAACTCCCACGACGGGTCCCAAGGCCTCCGCGAGTAGAGCCGGCAGGGATCGGGGAGGATGCCTCTAGCGAAACGCTCCTGGAGTTCCACGGGACAAAAAGACAAACGATGAGCAGCGGCTTTTACTTCAGCTGGGAGATTATCGCGGCGCCACGCGTCTCTTGAGGATCAAGGAGGAGGAGGAGGAGGAGGAGGAGGAGGAGGAGGAGCTGGAGAACTGCGGCCGCCAAGACGTATCCTTCAGGGATCTGTAAGATCCTTGGGGCTGCTGTTGTGCAAGAAGCTTGGCGTCGCGTTCCCTGGCTCTTCTCAGGACAGGGGCCTCCTCCCCCGAAGGCGCCTCGTGGGCAAGAGAGCCCGTCTGCTGCCTGGGGCCCTTGGAGTTCCCTCGCACTCATGCCAGACCTCATTAGATCTCCACGGGGCCCGACCACTGCAATGGACTGTCCTTGAAGAGACGTGGATACGACAACGACTATACACACAAACACACACACACACACGCACGCACGCACGCACGCACGCACGCACGCACGCACGCACGCACACACACACACACACAACACACACACACACAACACAACACACAAACACACACACACAGCACACACACACAACACACAACACACAACACACACACGGATGGTTACCCACGCCCTTGCGACGGTACCATGCCCCGTTGGACCCATAATGTGATGCACCGAGTACCGGTATGGATGGCATGATTCACAATCGAGAACGTACCAGGAGTTAAGGGTCAGCGAAGCACGGTCAAACATTGTTGCCTGCCTCTGCTCTCCCTCTCCTGGTGCTGCCTAGTGTGTGCATGGGTTTAAGTGAAGGGCTGGACGGGAATGTCTGCTGTGCATATCGGCTTCGCCAGTGTACGCCCACTTTAAAACGCAGTATTCGTCCAATGCAGCATGTGTGTACCATGCTGCTCGACACTGTCAGTAGCCATGCCCAAGAGGGTGAAGGCTATCATTTCCCAATCTGTATTTACTAGTTTCCCATGTCTGTCTGTGCTCGCCCACTATACAAGGCAGTAACCACCGCGCACTATTTGCAGCTCTATATGCCTGCTCGCACACTTGTCATCGTCTGGGCCAGACGTTAAACGGCTGAGGCAACTTTATGAGGGTATGGTTGTCTAGCTCGATGGCTGCTGCTGCTGCCGTCATTCTTCCACCATCCCGCCTCTGCTCGTCCTTACCCTGTCGTGGTTTCGATCATCTGCCATCAATAGGAGAAGAAGAAGAGGAGGAGGAGGAGGAGGAGGAGGGAGGATCGAGGAGGAGGGAGGATCGAGCAGGAGGGAGGATCGAGCAGGAGGAGGAGGGAGGAGGGAGTAGGGAGGAGGGAGGAGGAGGAGGGGAGGAGGGAGGAGGGAGGAGGAGGAGGAGGAGGAGGAGGAGAAGGAGGAGGAGGAGGAGAAGGAGGAGGACGAGGAGGAGGAGAAGGAGGAGGAGGAGGAGGAGGAGGCAGGATCGAGGAGGAAACGCTCCAGACCACTTGCAGCACCCCCCCAGGCCACCCCGCCCGACGGGCCCGTTCCGCACCTCCCCCAACGCCTGTCGAGCCCACCCTGTGCTAAGCGACCCACTCCCCCCGCGCCCCGCGAAGTACAGCCCACAGCCACACACACCCACGTGATCCACAACCCCTCCTGCTCCTCCTCCTTCTCCTCCTCCTCCTGCTCCTCCTCTTCTTCCTGCTCGTCCGTCCTCCTCCTGCTCCTCCGTCCTCCTCCTCCTCCTCCTCCTCCTCCTCCTCTTCCTCCTCCTCCTTCACTTGCCCACCTCCCCCATTACTCGCCTCGGACTGGGCATGGAACCCGATCCTGAGCGAAAGTATCCACTTGCTCGTATGCATCAGGTACACGTTTTGGCGTTTCACACATACCACAAACTGAAGGCAGAGTACGATGCACCAGGGAGCGTTCCCACCACTCCGACATTTCATTACACGATCCTGGTAGCAGCGAAGGCCGACATTGGTTGCCGAGCGCGCTGTCGCGCCGTAGGTCTTGACTCATTCGGTACGGTCGCTCCTCTCCTCCTCCTCCTCCTCCTCCTCCTCCTCCTCCTCCTCCTCCTCCTCCTCCTCCTCCTCCTCCTCCCCCGAACACCCCCCTACACCCACACGCTTATTGAACAACTCGGAGTGCAGAAAGAATGGGGGCGAAGACCAACAGCATTTCTTGCTCTTCTTGGACCGGGTTCGCCGTCGGGTCTGCGGACGATGTCCACTTGAGAAGACAAAAGAGTAGCTTGCCCAACCGCGGCCGCTGTCGGTGCTTCTGTTTCCGTGCCCACTCCGGGCGTGCCAGATCGAAGTTCGAAGTCTTGGGACGTGTGTGTCGCTTCCTGGGCCTTCTTCGGATGCTTCTCGGATTGCCGAGGTCGGATCCCCGTTTGAAAATCTCGTCAGAACGCCATCCGCAGGAGTTGCGGGGGGGGGGACGATTTGCCAGAGTCGGTATGGGGCAAAGGGGTCCTGAGGGAAATTGGACCTCGAGGCTTGTCATCGTGTGGGACCTTTCTAGGCCTCACCCTGGCCCTGGGACCGCGAAAAACTAACCTGGATGAACAGAAATGTCTTGTGAGGAAGCCCTGGGAGTTAGAACCCGTTTTACTCAGGACCCCTTTCTTTCATGTTGGTGGTTCGAGAGGGTTGCGAGGGTTGCTTTGGGTTGTGGGAGAGAAAAAAAAACATGCTTCTGGTTCGGGGCGGACGAACGAAGGATCTTGGGAAGGGGGGGGCACGAAATCTGCTGCATTCAGCCGCTGTCTAGTCCACCGCCAGGCACTCTCTTCACGGGTCTTCGAGCGCTAGGAAAGCCAGCCGGTTGCAGCTGGTTCGCAGACCCGCCTTTTGATATCACTCCCTTACGTCCGCCCCGATTGCTGGATGTACCGCTCGCATCACTGCCGCCGATTCGTGGGGCAAGTTGCTCCCCAGGCAGTTCAGGCGCCCAAGATGCTCGGTCAGCCATCGCTGCTACACCCAGACCCCCGACGTCTTGATTTTTGTCATGACGTCGGCCCTCTGAGGTCTGGACCCCTTCCCCAAGACCAGTTTCTCATCCTGAGTCGGTTTCTGACGGCCCCGAGGCCTGGTGAGGGCCGCCAGAGGCCGAAAATAGCGAGAAGCTTCCCGTCATGATTTCTTCGTGACTCGAGGGCGTCTGGGCATAAAGTTGGCTCGAGAACCCAGACTCCGATTCGATCGTGCCTTGCTGTGTCGCCCCGCGCCGCGTGGACACTCAGTGCCCCCGGCCTGCCTCTGGGACCAAGCGCTGCAGCCGGTTTCGGCTCCGCCGCTGGGCGCTCGCACTTCGATTTTCCCCCCCTCCCTTCCTCCCTCCCCCCCTCCCTCCCTCCCCGTCCCCCCCTCCCTCCCTCCCTCCCTCCCTCACTCCCCCCTCCCTCTCCCCCCTCCCTCCCCACCCATCCCCCCCGATCTCCCCCTCCCGGCGCCAGGAGGCGCTGGAGACATCAGCGACGCTTGCTGATTCGGCAACCCTCCCTCTGCTATCCCCCCCTGCGTCCGCCCTGGTGCTCGCGCCGGCGGCCTGCTCCAGGCGCTCCCTCGGAGCGGAGCAGCCTGGGGTCGCGTCTCCGGGGCACTGTCTGCACACGACGCCTCCCGCCGGAAGGGCCGTTTCCTGGTTCTTGGCACCGCTCGGACGTGTGCATTTTTCCTTCGGCGAGGACCATCGAGGAGCATCCTCGATCACTTGGCGAAAAAACCACGCACGAAACCGAAAAAAACACAGGGAATGGACGTCCGAGCGATGGCGAGGGCTCACCCGCCCACCCACCCCCCTCATCCGTCTTGTTCTCGCTCCTCCATCGCGGCACCCAGGTGGCGCCCAGGGGAGCCCTCCCCCGCCGGATGGGCGGCGAGACGGAGGCAGGGAGGAGGGTGGAGGGAGGCGGGAAGGGGAGGCGGGAGGAGAGAGGAGAGGAGGACGGAGGGAGGGGGGGAGGAGCGAAAGGGGCGCGGGAGGGGCCAGGAGAGGAGAGGCCGGGAAGCAGGAGGGCAAGGACCACGCGGGAGGAGGGCGCCGCAGGGCTGCGAGCGCGGCGCGGGCCGGGCCGCCCCGCCGCGCCCGCAGGCGTGGGGCGCCCTCTACGAGCGCATCCCGCACGTGGGCGGGCGCCTCGAGGTGCAGCCTGGCGGCCGACTCCGATTCGGCTCCTCCTCCTCCTCCTCCCCTCCCCTCCTCCTCCTCCTCCTCCTCCTCCTCCTCCTCCTCCTCCTCCTCCTCCTCCCCCTCCTCCTCCTTCTCCCCCTCCTCCCCCTCCTCTCCTCCTCCCCCTCCTCCCCCTCCTCCTCCTCCTCCTCCTCCTCCTCCTCCTCGATCTCGCCGGCCTCCGCTTCCGCTGCCGCTTCGACCTCGGATGCCGGCTCGGGCGCCGGGCTCCCTCCACGGAGGCCTTCCTGGCCTGCCGACTTCCGCCGACGCGGCTGCTCCCGACTACAGTGCCGTTTTTAATGCAAAATGTATTAAAATATAGGAATCAAGTCTTAGGGATTGCAAATAAAGCTCCGCGTGCGGATCATGTATTAAAGATGCAGGGTGTTAGTTTTGAAAACAGCGATGAGTTCATGCATACATGTATTCATACATGGATCATGGATTAAAAATCCTATGTGCTTAAACATCCTATGTGTTAAAAACTGCCCTGTAGGCTGTCGCGGTGGTGTCTAAGAGTGTTGAGAGGTTCCCCCCGGCAACCCTTCAGGGGGGGGGAGGGGGGAGCTCCGCAGGGCAGGGCCCCCAGAGAGGCCCCTTGAGCCCCCTCCTGGATTCGGAGAACAAGAGGCCGCGCAGACAGAGTGTCTCGGAGTTCCGCGCGGATTTCTTGGGCCGGCGCTGGGCCCCCTACCCCCCTGGCGGCGCCGGCGCTGCCCCCGGCGCGCGTGCGGAAAATCCGATAAATCAAGTTTATGCAGTTGTCCTTGCTCTACGGGTGCGAGGGGCCAGGGTAGGAGATACAAAAAATGAGCTCCCAAGGCTATTCGTCGCTGATTGTTCACGCTTCGCATATCTCGACCAGCCCGTTCAGGAACGATTCTCGAGCGAGCTGTCGCGAGGAGGGAACCACCCTGCCTCTTAGAAGGCGCGGGGCCTTGTCCATAGATGTAAGTCAGGCGCCTTCTAAGAAGCAGCCCCCTTCTTTCGCGCGAGAACGGCCAAACGTTCGCTACCGCTCCGATGATCGGACAAGTTCAGTGTGAAAGTGAAGGTGTAAATCAGAGGTGGAAAAAGGTATCTATCTCGCTACCCTTCGCTCGTTTTCCCCATGTTCGGACTCCTGGGAGACTCTCGGCGCCACCACTGGATCCGCCTCGAAAACCTAATCAGAACGCGCCCTGGGAGAGGTCCGTGGAGTAGCGGTGTCGGTAACTGCTGGTTCCCCCAGTAGATGCACCACATTTGTTCTGAGGTACATCCACGAAGGATCAGCGAACAACAGTACTGCAGCAGTGAATTCGTTGAACGGCTCTGAGAAGCGGCCGGGCCGCGGTTGAGAAAAGCCTCGCCCCTGAGGAGCCAAACAAATCATCCATCCACACGCCGAGACACCTCCAGAGCCATCACAGACCACCCAGTGCTCCAAAACTTTGCCCGTGATCACCCGAAACTAGCTCAGAGTCGTCGCGAAAAGCTCTGAGATCCGACGATGCAACATCGCGAGAAGTCACCACTGGAGCCCTGGACCCCATCTTTGTGGTGCATCCTCTGGGCCGAGTCGATCGGAGATGCTGCCCCAGCCCTAAACCGGGCGAAAAAAAAGTAGTATTTCACAAATGCGACGCTCCGTGATGCTGCCCCAGCCCTGAGCCAGGAAAGCAAAGTCAGGTGTTTGAAAATTGCAACGCCTTGATCTCAGGGAACGCCGCGGGTGGTGATGACCCGCGGCCCGTGTGAGGGGTGGCGTCTCGAAGTTTGCATCTATCGTCATCATTTTGAGGCGCGCCCTCTCAGAGAACCCCGCGCCCGTGCGAGGGGTGGCGTCTCGGCAAGCGCACTGTTCGCCATTCCCGCCCGCATCCGCTTGCCAGGGCAGGCTGCCTTGCCACTGCGGTTTGGTATCGCCGGCTCCAGGCGGGAGCGCACGTTGCACCAGATACAGTCAGGAGGGAAAAAACACACAGACATAATCAATCGTTGATCCCCCAGAAAATATGGGAAGTGGTGGGGAAGACAAAAACCCAGAAAATATAAGAAAAAATAGGGGAATACTTTTATTTGTGTGTATTTATTTGTGTGTCCCAGGGCCCCAGAAGGCGTACACTCGACACGGATTAGTATGTCGACCTTGCCAAATCAATGGCACCCTTGTGTCCTTGACTCCGCGGCCCGTCCTTTGCCGTTTTCATTGGTCGCCCGCAGCCCCAAAGATCCCAGCTTCGGCCTCCGAGGGTCTTGCGTCCTCACCCCGCCCGCCCTGGATGTGCGTCCTGGCTCTGTTTCGGGTGCAGCCAGGACTCCCATTCGTTGCCTGGCCCTCACTGATTATCTGGCATTGCGCCCCCTTGCCTTTTGACACGCCCTCTGGACTTTTCCTCGCGGGCCGCCGAACAAAAAAAAAAGGTATAGCCAGGACCCCCCGGGTAAGGGGACCCGGTTCGTGGTAGGGCCCTGGGGCCCCTCAATTGGCCAGATTCACCGAACCAGGTTTGCCGCAACTGGTGTTTTTCGGGTGACGGCAGCTCCGGTTGGCGGAACGGGGCGGGGAGGGGGGCGCCCCCCGGTACACAACATTGAACCAGGTTCCCTTGGGCCCAGTTCTGCCAACGCCCGACGGTTGCTGTTCCGAGGCGGCCACCACCACCTGGGCAAGACGGCCTCGCTGGGCGGCACAGACGGGGCGCGCCTGGCGTGCGAGTGCCGCGCCTGCGGGGCGCGCTGGCGCACGGACGAGCCGCCCTGAGGGCGGGCCCGGGCCGGCGGCCAGCACGGCCGCGCGTGGGCTGGCGGCCGCCAAGGCTGCCGCTGCGCGGAGAAAGCCTAGCCTCAGATCTGGGCGCTGCCGTGCTCTGCTCGATGGCAGGATCTGCCATCGAGCTTGGAGCCTTCAATGATCCATGCATGTATTCATTGGCCAGGAGTTATTTTCAGGTTTTCCAGAGGTTACTTTTTATTGTTTTCCCACAGCAGCCTCTTTAGCTGTCGTCTTCCTTCACAATGGCAGGTCCATGGTCGACTCGACGTAAGACTGGCCTTGGAAGAGGAAGAAGCGCCAACATGAACTGCTGGCGCTCCGCGCGGATTTCTTGGATCGGCGCCTGGGCCCCCTTGGCTGCGCCTCTGGCGCCGCCCCTGGCGCGCTCCGCGCGCCAGGGAGGGGGTCCAGCGCGGACCAAAAGTTTATGTTTATGTTATCTGTTCTTCTAGTAAGTCAGAGCGTGAACTACCTACCCCGCTTTCGCTTCCAGACAGAACCAAGTCATACCACGCACCTCCTCGTCAAGCGGCCTGACCTGTGCAGGCCGTAGTTTAGCCTCGTTTGGTATCTCTTGGAAGCGAGGGTGGTCAAAAGCGAGGTAGGTTTGTTTGCCCCCTAGTGAGTGAACTTCCGCCGGAGTGACCTGTGGCCCACTGGGACCCCCCGTTCGCTGAATGCGATGCGATAGCAGCGGCCTGCGCGCTTGGATTTGGCCCCCCCACGTCCCCCGTTACAGTCGGGGCACTGAAGAAGGAACCCTTTTCGTTGGGGAGGGGCTTCGTGTTCCTTGATTGTTGCACAGCTTGCCTTAGGTTTTCCTTAGGTTTTCGATGGGAAATCGAAGTTGAACTGATGGGAAAAAGGGGCCTCGTTCCTGATTTAGCGTTCCTTAGGTCAACGCCCCCACTGTAGGTCGCTCACCAGAGGTCATTATTGCCCAGGGTCACTTTTACGTGTAGCCGAGGACTGGCGGTCACCCGGCTGCCGCTGCGCAGAAACAGCATAGCTTGAGATTTGGGCGTGGCTTCGGCGTCGTTCGGACGTGTGCACTTTTTCTCGGCGGGAATCGTTGAGGACGATCCTGGATCATCCTGCGAAAAACCGCGCACGAAACCGAAAAGTGCGCAGGGAATGGACGTCCGAGCGATGGCGAGTCCGTGGTCTGGGCAATGGACGATTTCGCCAGATGTCGGGCCCCGGGACCTCGATCGATCGGGCTCCCAAAGCGCCGCAGACGGATGTGGTCCAGGGCTCCTGTTCTGATTTGTTTCTTGGCATCGCTCGGACGTGTGCATTTTTTTCTTGGCGAGGGCCATCGAGGAGCATCCTCGATCATTTGGCGAAGAAAGCACGCACGAAACCGGAAAAAACACGGGAAATGGACGTCCGAGCGATGGCCAGGTTTGTGGTGCTGTGCACTGTTTCGCCACGTCGGACCTCCGGGTGCGGCAGGTCCGTGTCGTGGCGACCCCTGCGTTGGTTTCGGACACCGTGTGGACCGTTCGACCTTGAACGATCGGAGGATTGCAAAAGAACCGAAGGATTGCAAAAAAGACTAAGGATTGCAAAAAAAACCTTCGAAGGATTGCAAAAAAAAACCTTCGAAGGTTTTTTTTGCAATCCTTCGTTCAAGGATTGCAATCCTTCGGGCAGCTTCTCGAACGCCAGATTCTTGGCTGATTCTGGGCCAGCAGCGGCGTTCAACCCTGACCGCCCGCAGCAGGGGGCGCAGCCGCGTCGGCACAGCACTGACTTACTGGCAGGCTCGTGCCGCGCTGGCGCAACAGCGACCCTGCTGCGGGCGTTCAAGGTGGAACGCCGTTGGTGGCCCAGAATCGGCCAAGATGGAATAATCGGGCAATCGAGAAGCTTCCGACCGTTCAAGGTCGAGCGATCCACGCGGTGTCGGAAAAGCCGACGCAGGGGTCGCCACGCCACGAGCTTGCCGCAGGAGGAGGTCGTGGAGGGTGGGCAGAGCCCCCGTGCAGTCCTCCTCGCCTGGGCCCTGCCCGTCGTGGAAGAAGCCCTCCAAAGAATATCAGGAGGGGAAAAAACACAGACACAATTAATCGTCGATCCCCAAGAAAATATAGGAAAATATGGGAATTGGGCGGGAAGACAAAAACCCAGAAAATATGGGAAAACATGGGAATAAGTTTATTTGTGTGTATTTATTTGTGTGTCCTTGGGCCCCTTCAGAATCATCCCCGGGAGGTCTTGGAATTGTTCCTACCATGCCAGGCGGAGATCCACCACGAGCTCCCAGGCAAGTGTTCGACGAAATGTTCTTCCCCTCTCTCGGGGGACCGCGGTTGCTGACAAGGCTTGTGCCACGACTCGCGTTACGGGCCCGTCTCACCCGCCCCTTCCAGGGGGGGGGTAGACGGAGGGGTTCATGCGAGAGGGGCAAGAGGGTTAAGAGTTGTGCGCAGGCCGGAGGCGTCTATGCGAGAGTGGAGCGAGCTCAAGGAGGTGCCGAGCAGGAGCCTTCCCCTCTCCCCCGCACCGTAACGCTTCCCCCTCCCCCGCGTACCCTTGGCATCGCTCGGACGTGTGCATTTTTCTCGGCGAGGACCATTGAGGACAATCCTGGACCATCGAACAAAAAAACACGCACGAAACCGAAAAATGCACAGAAAATTGACGTCCGAGCGATGGCGAGGTACCGCCTCCTCCTGCTAAGTGGCTCGCTGACTCTCCAGGTTGGCTCCCTCCTCCTTCTGCCCCCGCGCGCCGCGCAGCTGCCTGCCCAGGCGCGGCGCGATCGTGCCCGCCCGCCCGGCCCTGGAGGGGTGCGCGGTGGCACCTGTCGGAGGTGCGTGCCACAGGAGAACAGTCGATCCTCCCTCGGAGAGGGATGCAGGGGGGCAACTCCCCCCCCCTCCCCTCGGGCCGGACGAAAGGGGGGGATTGGGAAAGAGAGGGTTACGAAATTTGCTGCATGCAGCTGGTTTCGGCCCCACCGAGGGGCCCATTCCTCGATACATCGGCCCAGCGCCGGGAGGCGCCGGGAAAATCAGCTACGTGAGCTGACTCTCAAACCCCCTTTTGCTATTCCCCCCTTTCGCCCGACCCGATCCCCCACCCCCCGCGCAACGCCCCCACCACCCCTTCCCAGGAATGCCCTTGAAATGTCCTCACCCTCTCGGAGGCGCTGCGCCCCGCCCTGGCCTCCCCCGTGGATCCCGCCGCCTTGCCCCTGGGGAGGCCCCCTCGCCGGAGACGCGCGAGAGGCCCAGGAGGTCGCAGGCGGGACGGGGAGGTGGAGGAGGAGGAGGAGGAGGAGGAGGAGGAGGAGGAGG